AATATTTCTGGGCTATTTATTACATTAACTATAACTCGCCACGTCCGTGCCACGTCTCCGCCCGACGTCCGTTCGGTGTGAATTGGGCCTATCCAAGCAAACTACAATAGTTATCTTTTACAAGTAGGCTACAGTTTTTTTTAATTGTCTCTGTAGCCCAAATGTACAACACCGCTTCAATGTACAAAATTAGGCAGCCTATTTGTGTTTTAAGCTTATTAACATGGCGGTAATAAAATACCCCCGCTACAGCAAGCCTGCCGACTAAGTGAATTTCCATTTGCCTGCATTGATTTTCAATTAATCTATTAATTAACATTTATGTTTAACGAGTACCTAGGGTAGCTGCTACAGGGAAACTAATAAAGAGTGTTTTTTGTATTAAAATATCAATAGCTTAGTATCAAATAAATAAATCCGCCAAGTTTGATCAAAATATATGCATAAACAAGCCAACAATAACATTTTACGATATTCCTGGATAGGGTTCCACGGTCATTTAATGTAGAATCGTGGTCTTCTGGCGACGACCGGGTCAAAAATGATGAATCACTAACACTCACCGACGTTTCGGCCTTGATACAGATTGCCATCTTCAGGGCGACTAGACTCCGCACTGATGAAAAATCAAGTCGCCCTGAAGATGGCACTCTGTATCGAGGCCGAAACGTCGGTGAGTGTTAGTGATTCATCATTTTTGACACGGTTGTCGCCAGAAGACCACGATTCTACATTTTAGTATTATCTAGGTTACGTACCTTATACAGTCAAAACAGTTCTAAATCCAGTTACTAAAGGACGATGCGCATTTCAAAACTTTTAAGCTCTATCTTCAGGTCCGTGGATACATTTATCAATTCATCTTGTAGATTCGTCAAAATTTATCAAACATTAAAAACACATAATTCATTAGATTTATACAGGTACATGTGCCGGCTGGCGATAGATCCCGACTGAGGAAGGAGTTGACTTACTACCCTACCCCCACCTGTTGACTTTGAACTGTTGTTATCTTGGGTCTCTTAGACTGGATATCATTGATACGGTTAAATAAAACATTGCAGCCGTATTTTAGTTTTTCATTTAATACTTCATTTGGGTTTGATTTAAAAGTGTTGTAAATATGTAGTTCCTCTATTGTTGACATGTGTTGTGATTTTTTGCATTTGTAGAGAACTTCTAAGTTTTCATCAAAACTTTTTATGTCATGATTATTATTTATCAAATGTGCTGCAAATTTAGATTTTTGGTTCTTTAATGTAGGTTTGGGTAGGTGTTCAGAATACCTTTTTTTGAATGAGCGGCCAGTTTGTCCTATGTAAAACTTATTACATTGAGAACATTTTAATTTATAAATTCCAGTATTTTTTTTTCATTTCTTTTTGTACTATGGATATTTACTCAATTTGTTTGTGGTTCTGCATGAGAGTGTGATGTTTTGTTTTTTCATAGATTTAGATAGTGTATTGTGCAATGATTTTCCATATTCTATTGTGATAAACTTTTTCTGTTCAGAGGGATTGGTTTCAATGCGTTTTTCATTCCTGTTCTTTTTCTTGGAAATTATTTTGTTCACCATTTTACTTTCATATCCATTGGCCACTGCTATGTATTTTATTATATTTGTTTCAGTTTCAAAGTCGTCTGGATCCATGGGTATCGATAACAATCGATGAACCATACTATTGTAGGCCGCTAGTTTATGGGAGATGGGGTGATAAGATGTAGAGTGGATCGTGTGATCAGTAGCGGTTGGTTTCCTGTAGATGGAAAATTTGGAATTTTTGGAAAATTTGGAATCAATAGAATATGGAAAATCATTACACTATTCACTATCTAAATCTATGAAAAAACAAAACATCACACTCTCATGCAGAACCACAAACAAGTTGAGTAAACACCTAAATATCAAATTGGTGTAAATACCTGCTTCTTGTAATCCAAATTGTTGCTGTTATGACGCAACTAGTTTCGACTTATCACGAAGTCATCTTCGGGCGTCCAGGGGATGTCAAATCACTTCATCAGAAGGTCGTCAATACACATATACGTTCATACACGAACATGGTCACGGTTACGAACAAAAACACAGACACGAACATTGAAACGAAAAAAGTACGATTTAACGAGTAAAAGCTAAAAATGGTAACACCGGTGAGGATTATGCGTCACGGCCGGATGGATGTAACGTCTAGACTGCCGGTCAACGTGGTCGGTTGGCGCTGTGACGTCATTCCTTTGTTCTTGTTATCAGTCAGCTGTCCCCATTCATCCCCGACTCTCTCTCAAGTACCTTAATGTCCGTGTCGTAAATATAATTAGATTGGAAGGATAGTTTGTCATTTAAAATATTATGTTTGTCAAATTTCACAGCTCGGTATATTTCAAACTCTTCAAGTGTATTTTTGTTAAAATGGTCGTTAGATATATGCAGTATGGACATGTTGCTATCAATATTAGTGTAGTTGTGATTATCAGAAACCAGGTGTTCGGCAAAGGTTGATGTTTGAGCGGATGTTGGCTTCTTTGGGAGATGTTCTTTAAATCTTTTCTTGAAAGAGCGAGCTGTCTGGCCAATATAATACTTAGGGCAGTCGTCGCAACTGATCTTATAGACGCCAGTCTTGTCAAAAACAGGAGTTGTCGTCTGAGGCTGCTCTTTCAACAAAGATCCAAGTTTGTTAACTGTTTTGAAGGACACAATAACGTTGTTTTTGGCCATGATGTTTTTAAATTTACTACTAAGAGATGTACCAAATTCTGTTGAAATGTATGTTTTCTTCTCTTTAATTTTGGAGGTTTTTTGTTTATGTTTAAGAATCAGTTTATCAATTAGAATGCTCTGGTAACCATTAGCGACAGCAATGTGTTTAAGAATATTTATTTCTTCATTGTAGTCAGATGGATTCATTGTGTTAGAAGTACCTACTCTATGTATACTATCAACTGCCTGCCATTTGAGGATAAAATCATATGTTATTAATTGTTATGATCTATTTACTTTTTTGTTTACTTTTTATCAGTTTTGTTCTCAACCATGTTAATAAACCATCAATTGTTTTTCATCTCTTTTATTTTGTAAAAACTAATCACTCATACTATCTATCATTAACACATTGGCACTGATATTAATCTGTTTACAAAGCTATTGTATGCAGCTATCTAAATATCCATAGTACAAAAAGAAATGAAAATACTGGAATTTATAAATTAAAATGTTCTCAATGTAATAAGTTTTACATAGGACAAACTGGCCACTCATAAAAAAAAAAGGTATTCTGAACACCTTCCCAAACCAACATTAAAGAACCAAAAATCTAAATTTGCAGAACATTTGATAAAAAATAGTTATCATGACATGAAAAGTTTTGATGAAAACTTAGAAGTTCTCTACAAATGCAAAAAATCACAACACATGTCAACAATAGAGGAACTACATATTTACAACACTTTTAAATCAAACCCAAATAAAGTATTAAATGAACAACTTAAATACGGCTGCAATGTTTTATTTAACCGTATCAATGATATCCAGTCTAAGAGACCCAAGATAACAACAGTTCAAGGTCAACAGGTGGGGGTAGGGTAGTAAGTCAACTCCTTCCTCAGTCGGGATCTATCGCCAGCCGGCACATGTACCTGTATAAATATAATGAATTATGTGTTAGTATTATGTGTTTTTAATTGTTGATAAATTTTGACGAATCTGCAAGATGAATTGATAAATGTATCCTCGGACCTGAAGATAGAGCTTAAAAGCTCTGAAATGTGCATCGTCCTTTAGTGACTGAATTTAGAACTGTTTTGACTGTATAAGGTACGTAACCTAGATAATACTTTGAATAACAGTTCAGGAGGCAAAATAATGAATAAATCTGCATTTTACAATATTCTCCGTAACCAATCACTGTACAAAAACACTTTTATATAATAAATTATATGTTTTTTAAGCCCTTTAAAAAGGTCTGGAGAAAAATTGATAAATTTTGTGTTTTATGGGTAAAAAATAAGAAAACCCCATTTTTATTTTTACATTTTTGTTTTCCTTATTATTTTCTTGTCTGGTTTCCAATCGGCTTGATTGAGAGTTGCTGCTCTCTTCCAGCTGTCTCACAACTTCTAACTTTGGGATAAGCGCTATTAAATCATCAAGTTTTGTCAGTGGTGGGAATCCTGCAAGACATTTGTCGCGTTTATACCTTTCAATATTACCCTCCAGAAAGTCATACTCTGTTGGTAATAGGATTTCTGCTGACTCTTTCACCTGGATGATGAAGTCTGAAAATGACTCGAACTGACCCTGCTCCCTGTAAATTGTTTAAGTTAGGAGCTGTTGTCTTGCCCTTTTTGGCAAAAATGTATTAATTATTGTAGGGATTGTTTTACCCCTGACTTTCCAGCTCTCCTGTAATGCCATGGTCCAAACGAAACATTAGCCTACATTACATTAACCACTCCATGGTGGTGGATGTAACTTAAAACTCACTGTTGGCCTTGACACAACACATTTGAAACTGGCCACATGGCTTTGAAGAAAAAAAGTTATATGGAATGTCCCACTATTTGACAGGTTAAGTGTAAGAAAGGGCCATGTGGCCCTAACTTTCGCCTGTATAAATAAATAATATTTCATTTTCATTTCACTATATACTGTATCCCACTTTGTACCACTCTCTAAGTTATGATAATATTTATATTTTTGATAATAAATATGAGTAATATTTATGATAGTCATAGATTAAACTAAGGTGGCTCCGTAGTTGAAAACTCGACCAAAGATTGTACAAACTTGTCTAATAGTCACACTATTACCCCCCCCCCCCTTGACAGTATTATAATTTGAGAAAACCCCTTTACAAATCTTTAAATTTTACTTTTTACTATGGTATGTACCGGTACTCAAAGTATAGTATATCCATCAGTATTTATTATAATTACTGAAAACAATATTACCAACTCATTAGAATACATTCTTTTTCAATGGATGTTTGTTTATACAGAGTGGCAGTCATTTGTGGAGGAGGATGACATTGTTGTGTGGAAAAGAGAAGACTTTGATAATCATGGAAAAGGACTTTACTGTTATAAAAGTAAGTAGAATAAGAAGTTTAAGTCTTTGAACTATATTACCGGTAATTTGTTACAAAGTGCTGAAATATTTATACAATCTATTACTTTCTCCCTCTATACCATAGTATATGGAAAAAGTATTGTTTTCGTCAACATTTTTGAGTTTGAGTTTTGAGTCCGTTTTGGGTCCCTCTGGACTCAAAAAAGTTGTTTTCAAAGTGATGTCTAGATGTGTATGGGTGTGTGTGTGTGATGTGTGTGTCTGGATGTGTAGGCCTACAGAGCTAGGGACTACACCTGTGGTCCAATTTCGATGAAATTTGTTGTGTAGGTTCTAATCCATGGTATCTCCAGGCGTTTTTTCATTTTTTTTTAAATTTTGATTTTTAATTTTGATTTTACCATAAAACCCCCATAAAATAAAAAAATAGTATTTTAGAAGAAAACCCGGTTTTGATTTAACTTAGTATGTTATGGTCCTTAAAATGTTGATCTTTTTTCATTTTTTTAAGTTTTAATTTTTTATGGGGATTTCCCATAAAACCCCATCAAATAACAGAAAAATTGGATTTTATCGAAAATGGCCCGAACGATTTTATAATACATTTAGTATGTTATAGACCTTTAAATTCTGAACAAAATTGTACAAATCCAATTTCTGTAAAAATTACAGTTCAAAAGCTATTGTTATTTTTCCATAGAAACCATAAAATAAAAAATACAAAAAAAGGATTTTTAAATTAACTAGGATTATGTAGGATTTAAATTAATATTTTATGGTTCTTATAATTCTAAAAAAATAGTACAGCACCCCATTGCTGTTACAATTACGGTTCAAAAGTTATTTCAACTTTTGTGATTATTAACTACAAAATATCATAGCCTATTTATTTTCACCGCTTACCCATGATAAAGGTTGTGACGAGCTTATGGGAGAAAGTATGTGTCAGAATGCTGATACCGTTTATTTTTAGTGTTTGTTTTTACTATTTAACCCTCCGAGTGTCCATAGTTTAGGCCTTAATGTCCACCTATTTTTGGCCCCTTTGCAAGGTTTTATTAAAACGGATCTGAGAAGCTTAAAACAATGTTAATTCTAATGTTCTATATACCATTTTGTTTGGAAAATCATGGGCTTCAATATTATATATAAAACATAAGGAACATTTTTTCAAAAAAAAAATTTTAGGGAAAAAAAAAATATAATTTCAAAAATTTTCAAAAAAAAAATAAGTTTGCGCTCAATGAAATTGTATAAATTATAGGCCTATAAATATTTGAAAATAGCCACTTTGTTCTAAATTTAATGAGGATTACAAATATATAATCATATAGCGAGGTAAGTTATCAAATAAATAAGTTATGAGCGAAAAACGGATTTCAGTACATAGCGTTTAGCTAAGAATGCATAGCCTAACCATAGCTAGGAATCTGGCTGATAATTTACATCAATATCACTACCTACTTCTTCAGGATCATCAACCAGCACTTCAAAACCACTTAAATCTTCTTATAATGCACCACGTATATCACTACTTTTGATTTTTAACACTAAAACAATGATAAACGTAATAAAACACATCAGTCATCGGTCCGGGGGAACCTAGCTGTTTACAAATACACGCACGTCAGCTGTCTGCTACAATATTTTCGGAACTAAAATGAATAGCGCTTAGAGACAGACCTCTGGAGAAAGCTTAGAATATTACGGAAAGAACGATACCTAACTCGATCAAGTTCAATCCGATTCAGTCAGTCATAGAGCCTTCGCCGTAAACGATGTTTGTGCGTCATAAAAGTGACGCGTGACCCTACACAAAGTGTGTTGTGCGTCATTTTTATGACGCGTGACACTCGGAGGGTTAAATCATGGCAAGGACTGAATTTTTTTATAGCTCACAATTCTGAAGTGTAAATATGTGGTTTCCCTGGACACTAAATTAAAATACCTAGCTCAATAAAATAAAAGGGCAAACTGAATTATTAAACTCAACACTTTTAATTGAACCAACTAAAGAAGACATAGATTAAAACTATTATTGTTTTTAACAACACATTTAACAATTTAACCATCTGGTATTCATCATTGAAGTATAACATTAAAAACAGACATGTGGCAAATATTAAATTGCACTCAACACCCCTCCTCAATTTAATAATTTTACATTTGACACAATTAACAAACAAACAATCCTAACATCTTTCTCAAATTGCCAAACCGAGGTGCAGGCAGACTTTTTGTAAAAATGTCTGCAATCTGATTTTCCGAACATATATATTCTGCAGACATGATTCTCCGCTGGTGAAGTTCCCGCACAAAATTGTATTTAACATTCACATGTCTCAATCGGCGATGCTCCCACTTCTGTAGAAGTCGTATGCAAGATTGATTATCTTCCAGGATGCGGATTGGTAACTTAAGCAAAATTTGAAAATCTTCTATCAGATACTTCATCCAGAGTAATTCGGCTGCTGCTGTTGCCAAAGCTACATATTCCGCCTCTGTAGATGATAACGCAACACTAGATTGCTTCTTTGTTGCCCAACTTACAGTACTTCCAAACACTTGTATGAGATAACCTGAGGTCGATCTTGAATCTCCACTTTTATTCCAGTTTGCATCAGCGTAAGCCAGAATAATGTCATCTTGTTTGCTCTTTCGATAACATAATTTTAAGTCGATTGTTCCTTTTATATATCTTAGGACTCTCTTCAAACATTTCCAGAGTTCTTCTGTTGGGTCACTTTGATGCCTGCTTAGGAAATTTACTACAGCACTCAAATCTGGCCTTGTACCTAGCATTGCATACATTAAGCATCCGATTACTTCTCTGCACGGCTTATCAGTCCTTTTTCCGCCTTTGATTTCTAGTTTTACTTCCATTGGCGTTTTGACTGGGCAACAATCTTGCATGTTAAATCGTTTAAGAAGACTCTTTAGGTAGGCAGTCTGACTTAAGTACATTTCCCCCTCACTCCTGGAGATTTCGATTCCCAAAAATGTTTTTGGTTCTCCCAATTCCTTGATTTTAAACTTCTCATTCAACTTTACTTTAATTTCCTTGATTTTCTCCCTATTATTTCCTGCCATGAGAATATCATCAACATAGAGCACAAGATACACGACAATATCATTTTGTATCATAACGTAAAGACATTTGTCGGATTCTGATTGGGTGAAACCAACTGAAATGAGAAATGAATGAATAGCTTGATTCCATGCTAATGGTGCCTGTTTCAAGCCATATAGCGCCTTTTGCAATTTGCAAACGGAGCCGGGTGTTCCTTCAACTCCTTCAGGAATGGACATATATATTTCCTCCTTCAGTTCACCATGAAGAAAAGCATTGTTGACGTCTAATTGTTCAAGAATTAATCCACGTTCATTTGCTACAGCCAGCAACACCCTAACTGTTGCAAGACGAACCACTGGAGCATATGTTTCTTCATAGTCAAAACCCTTTCTCTGTGAACATCCTTTGATAACAAGTCTTGCCTTGTATCGTTCAATATTTCCGTCCATGTCTTTCTTCAATTTGAAAACCCATTTACTGGAGATAGCTTTCCTTCCAGGTGGTAGTTTAGTGTAAGTCCAAGTTTTGTTTTCCTTTATAGAGTTAAGTTCTTCCTTAACAGCTTGATACCAATGATCCTTATCATCACGGCCTGCAATATCCTTGTAACTTTGCGGTACATCATCGACAAAAGATTCAGCATTCAGAGCAAGAACTGCATAATCCTGTAAGTATCTTGGCACATTCCTCTTTCTGGTAGAGTGTCTTATTGTTTCTTCTTCACTTACACGATCTTCAATTTCTTCTTCCTCTTCTTCAAGATCTGGTATAGAAATTCTTTGATTTTCATCAGACAATGATCTGCGTTCTTCTTTGTTCTTGTCTTCCTTTTTACTCGATCTGGATTCATGTACATGATCGGGAATCCAGTCTTCAATTGGTGTGCTCTCAAAGTAAAATTTTTCCTCATAAAACACAACATTTCTTCCAGTGATTATTTTTCCTTCTTCAGGACACCACAGTCGATAACCATTAGGACAATATCCAGTAAAGTAACACTTCAAGCACTTGCTGTCAAATTTACTCGATATTAATTCCTTAGGTAACAGCAAATATGCTGCACAGCCAAAAACTCTTAACTTACTAAGATTAGGCTTCTCATTGTACCATAAAGCAGCAGGGATCTTTCCTCCTAAAGCTGATGTCGGACTTCGGTTGATTAGATATACGGCAGTTCGAACAGCTTCTGACCAAAATGTCTTACCTAATTCACAATTAAGTATTAAACAACGAGCCCTTTCAACAATAGTCCTGTTCATTCGTTCTGAGACTCCATTCTGTTGAGGAGTATATCTGATTGTGAACTCATACTGAATTCCTTGCTCCTCAAAAAACTGCTTCAACTCATTTGACATGTATTCACGACCATTGTCACAACGGAATCTGCTAATCTTTAGATTGAAATGAGATGTAGCCAAAGCATGATACATCTTGACGTATCGTGTGACTTCCGCCTTCGATTCTAGAGCATAGGCCACTGTGAAATGAGTAAAGTCGTCAATAAAAGTGATGATATATTTCTTACCGTCAAATGAAACTGGTGAGATTGGACCACACAAATCACTGTGAATCAACTCAAGAGGTCTGGTGGCACGTCTCCTGTTCTGATTGTAAGGAAATTGTGATTGTTTCCCTTCAACACACTTTGAACACTTTTCTAAGGGTAATGTTGAAGTATTCAACTCCATCCCATCTACCTGCGACCTGAGACTTTTAATACAACCATAGCTCAAATGACCAAGCCTGTCATGCCACAGTTTCATTTCTGTTTCAGTTGAAGAAGCTGACAAAGCTTTTTGTTGCAAAAAATTTAACATATATAACTGAGAATTGTTTCTTTTTGCAACCGCAACAGTTTGATTATCTTTCTTAATCAAGCCACATGAATTTTGAAAGATAACACAAAAACCATTCATTTCCAATTTTCTTACTGAAAGTAAATTGTA